AGGATGGAAAAATGGCGGAAATAAATCATTTTTTTTTTTTTGTGAAGAATTGTGTGTTTTCTTTATGTTATAACATTAAAAAAATTTCTGGCTAAAAGAATTATTGAATGCGCCTAAGGTTTAAGAGAGACGGTGGCTGCAAGAATACAGAGAGGTTTAGGAGAACACACTGGCAATCGTATTTATCTCGATTGGGGTAAATTAGTAATTTCACTTGTAGGACATAACATCTGTAGAAAAATGTCGGATTGTCTGAGGAAGAGACGAAATGGAGCGTGAAATGACGCGGCGCTTATTGTGGGAGTGGGAGTCATTAGACTGGCAGCGTATATGCATGAAAATAAATTAACGAAGAAAAAGGATTGGCGAGTGGCCGTGGGATTTAAGTACGGTATATACCTTCCAGCGCGTGCCTTTGAATGGGTTTTTAATTTTGACAGAAGAATCCGAGAGAGAACTATTTGACAGAAGAATCCGAGAGAGATGGGTCGAATAGTTCATTCGATTTGTGAACTCGACTCATTTCATCTCGACTCGATTTATGAGTCGCTTGGACTTGTATTGTGATGACTCGAGCTTAATTATTTTTTTCACGAGTCGGCTTGTGCATTATGGCCCACAAGCCAATTTATCTTGACTTGAGTTCACGGATGGCTCATTTTTTGGTTCGTTTTTGGGTTTTTATATTAATTTTTTAAAAAAGTGTCGGTTTGTAAGCTCATGGACATCTCATATCTACACGAGCTAAATGACTAAATTGAACCTTGTCTGTGGACACGAACTGAATTCGTACATAGGATTGAGTATGTGCTTCTACTTCTTGTATAAGTACTTTCTACAAAAGCTATTAGGGTGTGTTTGATATGCCAAATTTTTTTTGGAAGTTGGAAAATAAATTCCTTTTCCTTGCATTTGAGTTGTTTGATGGGCCACTTTTTCCCTCCCATTTGTTTTCCACCCAACTGCCTCACGCGCCCCAATTCAAGGTTTTGTGGGAATTCCTTTTCCCACCCACTAGTTGCCGACTTTTTTTTTTAATATTTATATTATAGCATTGGAACCAAATTTCATAACCAAGTGTAAAAAAAAATTTCACTTTCATAGACAATTTTGATACAAACGAAAGTCAAACGAACACTAAACTTGGATTAAAAAAATGATTTTTTAAGAAACATTTTTTTAAATTTTATTTTTACTTTTTGGTAATGGAAACAAATTTTATAACCAAGTGTGAAAAAAATTATCACTTTAATAGACAATTTTCATATAAAATAAAGTTAAACGAATAGAAAATTTAAAAATTTTTCGGGTGGAAAATTATACCAATCAAACACACTTAATTAACAATTCCTTGCAAAATATTTTTTAGGCAATTATTTTCCCTGAAAATCATTTTCTTTCCACCCAATTTCCACCCTTACAATCAAACGCACCCTTAGATCCACTTCACCTTAAGCTCCTATTTGAGTCACATTATTTTTTTTCATTTTCATTTTTTTATTAATTTTCAATCATACATTCTTTAATAAAATAATATCTTCTATTACATCAATAACTTTTCTTCTTTTTCAACCACATATTTCTCATCACATCAAATAAAAAAAATACTTTCTTGAACTCATAAATGTGCACCAAACAGGGGCTAAATCTCTTCTAATTGAATTTCAAAAAATTATTTTAAGATGCTCAAAATAATTTCTTAATTTTAAAAGTGATTTTTAACTTTTCAAACGTCCTGCTAAATTGACGTTAGGACAATTGGAAAGTAAGGTGGGGTAGTCTAGGAAATTAATTCAAACGTCAAGCTGTATCTGTCATGTATGCACATGAAAAAGAGCATGTGAACGTAGGGCAGGAATAAAGATGATTATGATTTTGCCTTGGCATAAAATCATTATTGCCCAAAACAATTAGATATTATTCCTTATTTTTACGGGTATAATTAGGGTGTGTTAGAACCACGTTATTGGAAGAATGTATTTTTGAATAGTAGATTAAGTGAGAATGTGCAGTTAAAAAAGAAGAAAAATTAATTTGAAGAAGAAGAAGAAGAGATGTGAGTTGTTCCATGTTTCCAAGAAGTGAAAAATGTGTGTATTTGGATGATTTCAAGAAGTCGGCATATTAAATGTGGAAAATTTAATAAGGTATATTGGTAAAGAGACATAATGAAATATTTTACATTAAGAAACATGTCTATATATTTGGGATAAGAGAAAAAGGAAACTCGGCCTATATAATTGAGACAGAGGGAATATTATTTTATTAAAAAATGTGTGATTGAAAATGAGTAGAATAATGAAAATGAAAATTTTAATGTGGCTAAAATAGGGGTTTAATTTTATTTTGAGTAATGTTATTCATCCCCAGTGGGGATGAAAACACAGTCTAGGTGGAGCTAATATGACATTAAATGATAGGTGAAATTAAATAAGTTATTTAATTTTATCTTTCATTTCACCTATCATTTACAGCCACCTAAACTGTATTTTCATCCCCATTGGAGATGAATAGCATTACTCTCTTATTTTAGTTAGAATGGTAACTCAAATTTTTATCCACAATATTTTAATTACTTATGTTGTTTTGTAACATATAAATTTTAACAATTTAGTAACAGTCGTGCTACATTGCCATCCTCCTTGACAAATATGTTGACATAATGTCATATAACATTTTATTATTAGACTGTTTTAATCATTGTCATCATTTTCATTCACCAACGTATTTGCCAAGGAGGATGGTAGAAATCATCGAACAAAGTAGCAAAATGCTTAGTTTATGGACGAGAAACTTTATTAAAAATCCATACATGCGCCTTCTTGTATCCCTTCTTGCGACTTTAATGCACAATTTATGAACATAAAGTGATCTAATGTCCTATTTATTGACTTGAGAGTGATAAAGGTTGAAAGATGGGGGGCCACTCATAGAATTAAAGGCATAAAATATACAAGCATTTTCTTAGAGACTGGGTACGTCCTTTTAATTTATGAAATATTTCTCTGTACAAAACGTTTATTAGAAACTTATGAAAAGTACCACTCAAATAGCCTATTTAAGGGGCATAAAAGACATATTTATCTTTCCCCAAAAACACAATTAACAAAGTTGAATTTAAAGGGGGCAAAAGTGACATAACTGAAATTTATATGGTGCCAAATATATTGAAAATAAATTTGGAGAAAGTCCAAAAGTCATCTAAAATATTCTTTGAAGATCACATTCAAAAAATAAAATAAAATAAAAATAAATTGGAAATAATTTAAAGAAGAAGTATAGGATCCTATATTTTTGCAAAGTGTGTAGTTTGGACATATACATAGAACGCTCATAAGATGTTCTACCAATGAAGTAGTGTATTTACGGAATTTCATTTGGTCTGAACTTAATTCGTCAGTCTCGCAGCTATATAGAGATATATACAATTTCATATTCTCACAAATATATAAGATCAATGCTACATGTACAACATGTTGGAAATATGTAATAAAATCTGGAAAAAATTAATGAACTCCAAGACACGAAAAACGTTATCTTTTAAGAGACGTTTCTACCCTTTCCAACAAAGTCACGACCGGGGTATGATAGAAAATCTCTCTCAGGATACAATGGAGGCATTTGATTCAAATTGTGACTATTTGATCGAACCAAAAAAACACTCTATAAAGAAACTGATGATGCCAAGAGAAAAGAGAGAAGAATAGAAAATAACGAATTTTTTAATGTGTCTTGCAAATGAGAATTCGCCAAGAATATATAGAAATGGAGGCAACCTTTTGAATATGTGTGTCCCTTGAAAGAATGGACGCATCTGTTGGAAGAAACACTAGTCGGGGCGGCAAAACATTTGCAAAACAAAAGATAACACATACAAAATGATNGACAAAACATTCGTAAAACAAAAGATAACACATGCAAAATGATGAAAAATATCTAACACAACGCATGTGTTACAACATTGGGTTACAACCTCTCACAAGGGAGGTGTGCCCCGCGATTGAAATAATAGTGGGCCCCACCTCCCTTGTGAGAGTTTGTAACCCAATATTGTAACTCAATATTGTACAATGAGCATTATTCAATATATAATTGGTCTTATATTATCTATTGTGATATTTTAAGATGGGAATTTTAACCACAACGTTTTAATTATCCATGTTTCCCCTTCAAGAGACAACAGAATTAAGAAGAGGACTTGTTGGTCTCATATAGAATGAGACAAGGATCCCTCTAGAAAATCCTCCCCAACAGTGGACTCGGCAAAAATTGTGGTTGCAATGATGAAATTTTAAATGTAATGAATTTTTATGAACTTTGAAGGTACGCATTAAGTGCCTTCTTAATGCACAGTATCTAAATGTAAAGTTAAAGTGGTCTAAGGTCCTTTATCAAATTATTTTTTTCCACAAGCGATCATAATGTCTTTATGTGAGATATGTGGTCTCTTATTAGTTCCTATTCGTGGTGCATGATTTCTTGAAAAGAAATCGTCGCATATTCCTTAAACTTTAAGTAAATGTTCAAAGATTGGTGGCAGCCTGGCAAATTGCCAAATGATATAAAGGGGGCAAAATGACATTTTAGTAATTTATAGGGGGCAAAATGAAATACCATCAAAAATTGTAAATAAAGTGACAGAGAGCACAACGGCTCGATTCTCAAGAGAACTGGCGAAGATGAGCATCGAGTGTCCGCCACCAATTAATCTGCCTTTTTTCACAGCTCATTCACACGCTGTCGCACAGAATCGAAGATCCCACAATTCCATAACCCCCACCTCTCTCTCTCTCTCTCTCACTCACAGAGAAAAGACACTGCTACTCTTTCGTGCACCGTCATAATTTCTGATCAATGCTTTTGAGATCACCGCATAATTGCTGTTTTCTCTGCTTCATTTTGGTCCTATACTTGGTAGCAGTTGGTTTAGCTGGTGACCCATATGTGTTCTATGACTGGACAGTCTCTTACATCACTGCGTCCCCTCTTGGGGTTAAACAACAGGTCCTCAAATTTCATTTTAATTTTATTTCTGCTTTTTTGTTCTAGACCCTTAAAGTTTTAACTTTAATTGTTATGTTTAATATTAGACTGTGAATTCTGTTTGTATGAAAGTTTACTTTGTGCATTTAGGCGACTGCACAGGGATTCAAATTAGGGGATGGAGGTTGCACTGTAGTATGGTAAATACGTAGGACAGTTTGTTAAACCTCACTGACTTACAATTTTCCATTTAAGAAAAAAATGGCGATCCAAATATTTCTCTCGTGACTCGTGAGATTATTTGCTGTAATCCAGCATGAGAACAGGCTTTATTCTTTAAGGTATTGAACTTCGTAACTAAATCTTGCAATAACAAGAGCTGAAGCTTTAAAAACATTATGATTTTAGCATATTGAACGAGCCTATGCCAAGGTTTTCAGTTTGATGATTGAACACATTTCTGGCTCAAATGAAAGGAACTCAATCCAAACATTAGAGAGCATCTTAAACATAAATAATTCAAAAACAATTCTGGCTAACTTCTTACAATTTTCGATGATTTGGCGATTCATCATTAATATTAATGCTTTAACATGACTTATCATGATGAAAATGTGAACTTGTGAGCTAGGCCTTAGTCCTGTGGTAAAAAGAGAATGGGTTCAACTCTTACCGCGGAACTGTGGACTATTTGTTCAGTTTTGTATTGGACTCGTACAATTATAAGGGGAAAAAATGAAGAGTTTCATAGTGGTTGTGTAGGACCGAGGGCAAGCTATACCTGATACTGCTCAAATCTTTTAATTTTCTCAATAACCCAAGCTTGAAGTTGGTCCACATCCGGGTCTTGGCAGCATTTGTTGCCATGACCAGTCAAACAATCCCCTCAGCAAGAATTGTCTCTACTACTAATTGTACTCACAAGTTGAATCTACTACTAATTTTAGAACCTAGCGTTTTACGAAAGCTACAATCAATGGCATTGATGGTTCTCAATTATTTTAATCTTCTTTCAAGCCCAAGCACCACATGTTGACTGTGAATCTGTCACCCTCCGAGCCTCCACCATGAGTGCAGTTTTTGCCATACCCGGGCCAACAGATTTACATCATTCACAAGTTCGATTAGGTCTTCTACATAAGTGCACATTTCTATAGAGAAGATATGTTAACCTATGCAATACGCTTTTGTTTGAAAGTATTTTTTAGTGCTAGGTCTTTATACCTTGATTTGGCTAGCATTTGTTGGAAATTTTGGTTTTTTTGTTGTCGTTAGTTTTCTTTGATATCTCCATAATTGTGATTTTTGGGGGTGTTTTCTACCTTTTACTACTTTCTTTTATTGTCACGCCTTATAGGACTCCATAACTAGAGGAATTGGAACAGTCTAATAGAGCATAACTGGAATGATCTTTTCCCTTCCCTTTTCACTCAGTAGTCTTTCTTTAAAAAAAAGTTCACTTTTGATACATGTTTATTTGTTCTATCTCCTCTTCAATTTTGTACAACACCAACAAAATGTCTGCAGCTGACACCTAAACATTATATTTCAGGTGATTGGAGTAGAAGGACTATTTCCTGGCCCCATTCTGAATGTCACCACAAATTGGAATGTCGTTGTCAATGTCAAAAATAATCTCAATGAACCATTTCTTCTCACATGGTATATCATTGAATCTTGATCCAAATATGATATATGATGATTGTGATTTAATTGTGCTAGTGAAGTGCAGGAATGGCATTCAACATAGAAAAAATTCGTGGGAAGATGGTGTTACAGGCACAAATTGTCCCATTCCTGCTGGTTGGAATTGGACATATCAGTTTCAGGTCAAAGATCAGATAGGTAGCTTCTTTTACTTCCCTTCCCTTGGCTTCCAGAGAGCTGCGGGTGGATACGGAGGAATCATGGTTAACAACAGAGATGTCATTCCTGTACCTTTTGGAATGCCGGATGGAGATATTACCCTCTTTATTAGCGACTGGTACATAAAGAGTCATAAGGTTGGAACTTGTTAGAGATGATGTATTTCTCAATTCTTATATTCCTGCTTTAAAAATGTAGTCTTTGTGCCTCTGACTTAGTAACCGTTGTTTATGGGGTAATAGGAACTTAGAAAAAATATTGAAAGTGGGACTAGCTTTGGAACTCCTGATGGCGTTCTGATTAACGGATTAGGCCCTTACAGATTTGATGAAAATCTTGTGCCAGGTGGTATTACTTATCAGATAATAAATGTTGATCCAGGTATCTCTTTGTAGCTTTACATTCTGCTAAATGCTGAATTTTGTGGTGCTTAGATATGTGATTTATATGTGCTTTCACATGTTACAGTTGCTATTTTTGAATGAACATTAATATTGAACTTGATCTTGAGATTTCTAAAATGAAAAAGAAAATGTAAGAAACTCTTACTGGCTGAAATTCGTGCAAAAGACCCTGGACAATTAATTGGTTTTACTGGTCCATGCTTCATTAGTTTGGAGCAGTAACATACACATTTCATAATGAACAAGAACCAAGTCATGTCCACAATATGGATGGTAATCAAGATGGAAAGCTCCCCTGTCGTGGCTGATATTTTGATGAATAGGAAGATTTTCAGCCTTATATCTGTTAAAGATTCTTGAAGAGTATCTTCTCAAACATCATACTCAATGTTGAAGAAGGAATTTTTTATTTTTTACAACAAATCATTTCGAATGTGGGCTTGGAGGTCCTTCAGTGAAATAATTTTTGCTACTTCACAGGCTCCTGTAGGTACTTTTTAAAATTCAATTTGACTAGACCATTACAGACAATGTTTCCCTTTCTGCTAGGGTTTTTCAGTGAATGTCTATTGGAAGACGCATTCTGGGAGGAATGTACTATTCTTTTTATCTGTAGCTGACCCATAAAACTGGAATCAGACTTCTTGAGATGAATTGAGTTTCAACACCAAATACCCCAAAATAGGAAACCATTGTGCTTGTTGTTGCATGTTTCTTCATTGTATATCAATTGACTTCTCTTAATCTTCGGTTTGTGTGAATTGTAGCTGTGTATTTATAAACATTTAACTTAATTTGTCATACATGCAACAGGCAAAACCTATCGCCTACGGGTACACAATGTTGGAATCTCGACTAGCTTGAATTTCAGAATCCAGAATCATAACTTGGTTCTTGTAGAGACTGAAGGATCTTATACCGTACAACAGAAATACTCAAACATGGATATCCATGTGGGTCAGTCATACTCATTCTTGGTAACAATGGACCAAAATGCTAGTAGCGATTATTATGTTGTTGCCAGTCCGCGGTTTGTCAATTCCTCAGCCTGGTCCAAGGCTACAGGTGTTGCTATACTGCACTACTCAAATTCACTGGGGCCTGCTTCAGGTCCTCTTCCAGACCCTCCTAACGAATATGAGACGTCATTCTCAATGAATCAAGCAAGATCCATAAGGTTGCACGTAAACATATTAGAAATATCTCTAGATTTTAGCCTTAATTTTACGATAAATGACACGCTTCACTCTATAATATGTGGTTTGGAATAAGTGAGACGGGCTTTTTTACCTGTAATGCTCATCAATACAAGGTATATGGTATATGATCCTTGGAACAATTGGAATTTGATATTATACAAGGAAGCAAGGCAAATAATGCTAAAGTATTGCTTCATTGCGAGACTTTCTTATTTATCATTTTGTACCATGTTTCTTTACATTCAATAGCTTAGCCAACATATTAGGTTCTTCCATATTATAATCTTGAGCTGACTTCATATACTGTGTTGTAATACAGAATGAATGTTTCTGCTGGTGCTGCTCGCCCAAATCCACAAGGATCTTTTAAATATGGTGAAATTACTGTGACTGATGTATATGTCATCCTCAATAGGCCTCCAGAGCTTATTGATGGGAAATGGCGTACTACTCTTAATGGAATTTCATACTTATCCCCTACAACACCACTTAAGCTTGCGCAGCAATTTAATATCCCAGGGGTCTTCAAGCTTGACTTTCCAAACAGGCTGATGAATAGACCTGCAAAAGTTGATACCTCTGTAATCAATGGAACTTTCAAAGGATTTATGGAAATCATATTCCAAAACAATGATACCACTGTTCAAAGTTACCATTTAGATGGCTATGCCTTTTTTGTCGTTGGGTAAGCTCAAGCTTTTAGCATAAGTTCTCTGCCCTAGCGTTTTTATGTTAGTTATTGGAAACTGGGAGTCCATTTGTCTTTAATTTTTTATGCGGTGACAGGATGGATTACGGAGTGTGGACAGAGAACAGCAGAGGAATTTACAACAAATGGGATGGTGTAGCTCGCTGCACTACGCAGGTTATCATAGTCCTGAAATTTTGTTTCCTGGAGTTTATTATTGTTGCAACTGCTTGAAAGGTGCCTTAATTCCTTTGTTTATCAGAAATTGAATAGACAGAATAGCTTTGACTTGTCTTCACCATTATATTTGTCCACTAGTCTAAATTTGATTTGCCGAAAGAAAGAGACGAGTTTAGACTAAGCTTTGTTACGATATAGAATAAGAATGCATGTGGTTGAACAAACAAGTTTTCTGCTTCTTTAAGACGCAAAACAGAAGCCAGAGATATAAATAAAGGAATATATATATATATATACAGAAATGATCTAATGAGCATCGGTGCTCATCTTATCCTAAGCACCAATGGGTTGGCACATTAATTCATTGATGGATTGGAACTCAGAAAAATCATTCCTGTATATATATATATTCCTGATACCATTGCCTGTTGTTATGTATGGGATATATTAATTTAGTATTTCTGTTCTCTGCACTCCTTTGCTCCAAAAATTTGTATATCAAGGTTTTGTTTTTTGTCTTCATTAATATCCACTGGTACTTCTTTAACAAGATTGGGGATATCATGACAATATTTTAGCTTTAAAATGGCAGTTATGCACTGATAGTATGTTTGACCTGATTGCAGGTGTTTCCTGGTGCTTGGACTGCTATTTTAATTTCTCTTGATAATGCTGGACTGTGGAACCTCCGTGCACAGAACCTTGATTCATGGTTTCTTGGCCAAGAAGTTTATGTCAGTGTAGTGAATCCCGAAATTGACAAAACTGAAGTTCAATTGCCCGATAACACAATCTATTGTGGTGCTCTCTCATCCTTGCAGAAGTAAGATATAATAATATATGTTCTTTTTTACCAACTCACTAAAGACATCAATACCGCTTTCTTGGTCAATCTTTTGATTGGAAATGTTTAAAGTTTCCCTGCGCTTGTTATTTGACTCTTTATCAGTATCTCATCAGCATATTTCTTCGGATTATTGAATAATTTGGAATTGCTGTTAATAAGATTTTCTACACTGTTACTTTTTGAATACTGCAGGGACCAGGCTCAAAGAGTCAACTTTTCTGGTGCATCACCTTCTGCTGAGATGGTTAAATCTGTTCTGATTGCAATTCTAATAGCCTTATTAGGATCTTTTATCATGTAATACATAACTTGAAGCTTTGAATTGGAGACTTTGATTTAGATAAATAGAAAAAGGAAGTGTATAAAAGCTTTGTCGCATTCTTGAGCTTAGCTGAGTTTAAAGTTTTATCGATATTGTAAAAACAGCCTCTGTAAACATACCGCTGTGCAGTGTATATGAGATAATGTGAGGTTCGGAGCTGGTATTTTGTACAAGCTATTAGTTAATTGTATATGAAATGGTAACTTATGGGATTCTTGATTCTTCTGTTGTAACAAAACTGGATTGGTGTTGTCCTTTATGGCTTAATAGACAGCAAAGACATATCTCCTTCTTACCATTGACGTCTGATGCATTGTTTGCATTAAATTTTTTTTACCATTCTTGTTATGACAGTTCTGATGGGGAAGCCAACATTTAGAATTCTCAATTTTTTAGGAACTTCAAGAACTTGTGCAGTGCAATGCATCGAAATTTTCATTTTTTAAAAATTTATTCTCTTTGAACTACGCATCTATTGAAGTCTTAGGATATGTATGTTGGTATGGAGTACTTGAAATGACTGAACGGTTGCAAAAATTCTTAATAGTTTTTATTACAATATTTATAATTATACGATGAAGTAGCCTAATTTTGTGCTTAACCTATTAATGAAGTCCCAACATCAATTAAGAACACTTTGAAATGTGTAAAATCTTGACTCCAATCAACCATTTACTCCTTTTATTGTTTTGAATGTAAGTAGCCAGAAAGTAGGCTAATTTTATGTTTCTTCGCCATTTCTAAGTAACAATATTTAATTCTATTATTAATAAACTTAAAGGTAAAGTTGCATGGTGGAGGGAGAATTCAGCCACTTCCATAAGATAGTCTATTAGTTAACACTAATTTAATTGACAGTGAAGTTACTGTTACATTATTCAATATAGTTGAAATGCATTTTTATTCACGGAACAAAGTGACGGTAAGTGTTAAGCATACTGGTGCTAGATGGTATTATTCGAAGATAGTGATTTTATTCTTTGTTTTATCACATATCTACAGGACATTAACATTAAGCTCTTGTTTGGTTTAGATAAAGATTAGATTTCCAGTAATTTTTGATAAAAAATGTTAAAGCTGTTGGTCCCATAAAATGTGTGAATGCAAAAGTGAATTTGAGGAATGATGAGTTAGAAAATGAAACGGTGGCTAAATGATGGATTCAACTAAATGGGTTCCACATTTTATAATTGAATCTATCCTTTATTGTCATATATACGGATGGCGCTAACACACTAGTCGCGTTATCATTATTTTTAATGAAAATTCATGCTTTTCATTTGTTGAAATTTTTCAACCGTTTTACCGCCAAGGGAATAATTATTCGTGGCTCAAGTCCTTGAAAGGAGACCTTCTCCCCCTTCCACTTATAAAATATAGTGAAGCTTCAAATTATTTTTCTATATTCTTGGTGAAGATGGTTCGCGTCTTCATTTTTTAAAGTAGCATCGAATCATGATACTATTGGTGAAAGTTAAAAAGTTATATTACTAATGTAATATGATACAATTATTGTTTGACATAACAACAATACAATATTTATCTCATTTGTTTCACGCAACTTATTAAACCCGTGTTTGATGGTTATTACGTCGAAAAAAATAGTGTTTTGAATATTGATTTTTTTGTTACGTGAATGTGTGGTTGAAAATGAATATGAAAATTAAAAAGTTTTATTTTAAAGAGGGACAAACATGGCTAAATTATGCAAAATTGATAAAGGAGACAACATTTCTTAAATGAAACAAGTTCAAATCCAATATAGTTAGAAGATTAGCAATAAACATGTCATAGTTATAAGTATGAACATTATATCCACCTTAAATATGTGATTTTTAGTATAGATGAATAGATAAGATTTCAATGTTTTTACCTTTAGTCCATTTAGTATAGTATAGACAAATGGATAAGGTTTCAATGTTTTTTTCCTTTAATACTGTCGATTACTTGTCACTTCATATTCAGCTAGTAATTGCATTCCATGATCCATCTTTGTTTTTATCTGAATTGTGTCAAAAGATATGGGCAGTGAACAGTGAAAATAAGGCACGGCAATGGCTGTTTGATGAAGCACTCTCCACACCCCCGTTTCCTCTTTCCATTTCGCTTGCCTAGTAAGCAAAGTATAGTTCAGCTTGATCAAAGCCCATCAATAGTCTCATTATAGAAACAGATTACACAAGAAAATTTCCTCTTTCTCGAACTCAACTTTTCTATCTCTAACCATGTTCAAGAATATTCCCTTGTACTTTACCTTACTGTTAATTTTAGTCCATCTTCTTGTCCCAATACAATCAGTGCCTGAAGGTGCACTGATTACTCAGATTCCAGGTTTCAGCGGCACTTTCCCTTCCAAACATTATTCTGGGTAAGAATGTTACGAATTTCTTGTTTTTTGTGCTTAATTTGATGCTTTTGTTAATGGGTCTTTGGAATTATCGTTTCTTCATCTGGGTTTTGTAGATATGTGACGATCGATGAAGTTCATGGGAAGAAATTGTACTACTATTTTGTTGAGTCTGAAAGAAATCCATCAAAGGATCCTGTTGTTCTTTGGCTAAATGGTGGTCCTGGATGCTCGAGCTTTGATGGGTTTGTTTATGAGCATGGTAATGGAAATGTTAATGTTTTTTAAACAAGAATTTGAGTTTGAATTTCTCAAATGATTTGTACTAAAAAAATTACTGAATCTTAATTTGTTATTGAAGATGATGCTGTAAAGATATTAAGATATTAATCTTTTGCATCCTATGTTGGATGCATAACATCAGAGGGGAGTTTTATAAAATGCTGGTTTCCATATCTTGAATTGGGATTTTCGGGAAAGAAATAAATTGATTTTAGCATTATACTCGTGAATTAATTAGATATCTTGGATAACTAGAATCAATTTATGGATTTTTAACTGAATTATAAAATTCTGTTGTTCTTGTTCGATTTAATGATATTCAGAATTTGTTAGTTCGGACTTCGCAGCTTTCTCTGCATATTTTCATCTAGTGAGGTGGGTTGTGTTCTTTATCTACTGCAATGGATTCAAGAATACAAGACATCAATGTTTTTTAGTTCAGCGATAATAAAGAGTTCATTTTGAAAATATGATGTTATTGAGCATTAATTGTAGATATGATTCAGTCTTTTCATTTATTGATGCACCGGAATGAAAATTATTTTATTTATCAAAATAAATAATGAATATCATTTTGGTGTTCTTGCTGATAAAGAAAAGCATAAAGGATCACTATTTTTTTGCAGCTCTGTTTGTTATTAAAAGATTCTTTTTCCATTTATAATTTCAGGTCCCTTCAATTTTGAGGCAGGAAAACCGCGTGGTAGCCTTCCCACCCTGCATCTCAATCCATACAGCTGGTCCAAGGTTATTATTTTCAATGTTCTTGATAAACCCATTCATTCCCATCTAAGTAGCTACGAGATCGCATCAATTTGCTTGATAAAATGGTTTTTCTATGTATGTACCAGATCACATGGTTTATCTTGTTTTAATTTCTCAGGTATCCAACATTTTATATTTAGACTCTCCTTCTGGTGTTGGATTGTCTTACTCGGGAAATAAATCTGATTATGTTACGGGAGATTTGAAGACTGCCTCGGACTCCCATACATTTCTCCTCAAGGTGAACAATATCTAAAGTGCATGCTTGCAAAGCTTATAATTTCTTATAAGCTAGTCAAACTCTATTTCTATCCACACATGCCGTAGGATCCACAAATTTTACCTACTTATTATCCACACAATTCGTAGGACCCACATCTTATAACCAAATAAAAGCTTTACCAAACCTGAACTTAGAAAGTTAAAATCCAAGTTGTTTGAAGTGTGATGATTTTTTCCTTACATAACTGTATATCTTTATTTTTTTATCCTTCTCATGTTTAATGTTCAACAACTTGTTATGATATGTGGCCAGTGGTTTGAGCTCTACCCAGAATTCCTATCCAACCCGTTTTATATAGCTGGAGAATCATATGCTGGAGTGTATGTGCCAACCCTGGCCTATGAAGTAGCTAAAGGTGATTCTTTTGATATGTCAGTTTCATCATTCATGTATGTTTGACAAAGCTTTTAAGCGCTTATAAGTAGGACAAACTTCATTTTAACCACGCATTTCTTAGGACCCATAACGTTTATCTATTTTTTAACTACCCATTCTTTGGGACCCACTACATATATTAACTTAAAAGCTTAGCCAATCAATCACTTCATATGTACTTAGAAATGGGTTAAACACCAGTGGTTACTGATTTCATGTTGGTCACTAAATTTTGTTTTGTTTCAAGTTGGTCACTGTATTTAAACCTTGGTTTAAGTTGGTCGCTGAACTTAAAGGCTGTCACAATTTTGTTATTTCGTCCATGTCTGTTAGTTTGACTGACGAAAAAGATGACATATCAATCTTGTTTACAGCCTAGTTGGCGAATAACTAGGCTGTAAACTGCCAATATGTCACATCACGGTTTTTTTAGTCTAACTAATGGACATTGATGGAGTGACCAAATAGTAACAAAGTTTAACTTCAGTGACCAACTCGAAACAAATGTAGTACAGTGACGAAAATCTGCTAAAAGATTAGTAACCATAAATGTATTCAATTCACTTACGAACAGACTGACACTTTCCTGGAATTTCTGTAGGAATTGATGCTGGTACAAAGCCTGTTCTCAAACTAAAGGTATACACATTAAACATTTCTTCTGTTTGGTATAGAATTTGCGTCGAAGTAAATCCATGAATTACAGGGATACATGGTGGGAAATGGAGTTACAGATGACGTGATTGATGGCAATGCTCTTATACCATTTGTACACGGGATGGGTCTCATCTCAAATGAACTTTTTGAGGTATCTGTGGCTCTGTTATTTCATATTAATTGCACAAGTTCTACTTTCATTATTCTGGAAAGTCTCTCAACCATGTTATTGCTATCTTAAGGTCATGCAAGTATTACCTGCATTACAAGCACAAAAGGATTACCTACATTTTGGTTGTCTACCTACTCTTTTCGTGATTTTTTTTTCTCCCTTTATACATGGAATACTGAATTCTATATGATGGATTTTGTTGAATCATTGGAACTTTGAATCTTAGTGGTCTATAGTAGTAGGAAAGACCGAAAAATCGTTTTAATTTTATGAGCAGACGATTATACCTTATTTTCTAGCTAGCCACATTTTCTTCTGTGCATATTGCTTATTCTGTTGAACTGCAAATGCAACTAATCATGAAAAATCTTGTTGGAGATTTGCGTTACCTCTGACTTTAACCAGAACAAAGATGAGCACTTCCCTGGATATGGTATCGTTGAAGCTAATGTAAAATCTAATAACATCTGGTAACACAAATTCATTAAAAATCTTGTTGGAGATTTGCGTTAACTTTAACCAGAACAAAGTTGAGCACTTGTAGTGGGATCAGCTGGCCTGGATACTGACTACCAAAAATTTGAACGGAAGAACATTTTCCAGACTTTAAGTGTCCATTACCTGAATGAAATTCAAAATATTAGAGAAGCATAGGATTTTACTTTTGTGTTTTGGATATTTCAAAATGAAACAAAGATAAGTCATTGTCGAACTTGCTTGTTTCTAAGTAACAATTTTCTGATAGTTTTTGCTTCACGTGGCAGGAAATTAATGCTGATTGCCAAGGGAACTATTATAATCCAACGAGTTTTAACTGTGAAAACAAGCTTGCCAAAGTTGATAAAGTAAGATGTTGCCAAGGGATCTACAGTTAATGCTTACTACTTTGTTCTGTTTGGTTTTAATTTCTGAATAATTTCAGGAAATTGAGGACTTAAACATATATGACATTCTTGAACCATGCTATCATGACCCAAAAAGTAAAATCACACTCGGTAATGAGAAGTTGCCACTGAGCTTCAGGAAATTAGGTGAGACTGAGAGGCCACTACATGTGAGAAAAAGAATGTTTGGGCGTGCCTGGCCACTAAGAGCACCTGTAAGAGAAGGACTTGTCCCCACTTGGCCACAGCTTCTCAATAGTGAAAGCATCATGTGCACAGTAAGTTACTCCGACTTTTCTCTACTCCCTTAAATTTTTGTTCAGGCTAACAAGCATAATCCAATAATCTTCTACTAATGATAAGCATGAAGGCTAGACATCTTAATCTTGTTGTGTCCTGTTATTAAAGAAGAGATATACTATCCAATTGCAACTCGAATCATTTATCTGAGATAAGTCATAATGTTATGTTCATTATAGGGCATATCTTTAATCTATAACTTCTAGGAAATTCATCAGGAACTTCTATATATGTCCCTATGATTTGTCAAACCATCCATTGAGAGAGACGTTTGTGCTTCTTAAATGCAAGAATGTAAAATATTATTACAAGGCATTATCTTTTAGACGTTTGGAGTATCAACAAAGGTATGTTCCTTTTTATATGTGTGTTTGTTTGCTCCATCTGACTTCTTGAACTTCTTATTGTGTACGTAGTGGCCAAGTTGGTCTAGTTCTTGAGCTTTATTTTCGGAACACCTTATTGGTATTTGCCTCTGGTAGTCTTATTATTTGGACAAACTATGCAGGATGATGAAGTTGCAACTTCATGGCTGAACAATGAAGCAGTTAGGAAAGCAATTCACGCTGAAAATGTAAGTTTTCTCATCTCAAATTGCACCAGCTTTTGAACGAAGTGATTTATGTCCAGTTGTATATCAGGGAAATGTAATAGGAAACTGGGAGCTGTGTACTGAAAAAATAATATTTTATCATGATGCTGGAAGCATGATCAAATATCACAAGAACCTCACATCTCGAGGATATCGAGCGCTTATATACAGGTATAGAAAATCACTAAACCCTATAATCTAATTCAGTATCCGGCCTCATTGATGTAATTCTAAGTCTGCAAACACAGAGGTCTTAATTCGTTTGTCTATAAATTCCCTGGTTACCAAGACTAAGAGGATGTGTGATTAAGTTATTCCATTTGCAAGATTTACAGCAAGTAAAGAGATGGTTAGATTTTATTCCCTGTCATTCTTCTTACTTTCCTATTTGTGGAATCAGTTCCTGGATGACCGAAGATTTAAGCACAAGATTTTTTAAAGTTTCTTCATCTTCTTGCAGAACAAGTTAAAAAGAATAAAAATAAATTGGTTCAGATCTATTTAATGTGTTATTGAACTTTATCAGGGAACTCCACCCATACACGTGCACTTTCAGGGGGGGAGAGAGAAAGAGAGAGAGGGCTGTCCAGCAGTACATACACGTTAATATTGTCCCTTGCAAAAATTGTTGCGTCTTATGGATGAAATTGAAATGTATTGTGATTTAATAGAAACATGTTTGTGATTATCATGAGTTTCGTGCAGTGGGGATCATGATATGTGCGTCCCATTTACTGGAAGTGAAGCTTGGACAAAGTCGGTTGGATATGAGACTGTAGATGAATGGAGGCCTTGGCACGTAAAAGACCAAGTAGCTGGGTATCTCTCTAACTTGTGTTCATTTAGCTTAGTTTTTGGTCTTTACTGAAACATCCTTATTAATCAGAAGTGATCCATCTGAGGCTGATTAGAACTTTTCTTTTGCTTCTATAAACAAATATATACGGCTTCTTTTTCAGATCTCAAGGCACAAATTAGCCAAACCAACCGATTAACTGCCATTTTATTCTATACAGGTACATCCAGGGTTATGATAACAATCTCATCTTCCTCACCATTAAGGTCTGTGCATCCAGAACTTTGTGCTTTTATTATTAATGGAAAAAGCCAAATGGCTAGGGCCACATGGGCCCTGGCCATCCAGCCCCCCCCCCCCCCCCAAGGGGGGGGGGGGGGGGGGGGGGGGGNACACGCGGTACCAGAGTACAAACCACGCGAGGCATTGGAATTCTACACGCGCTGGCTGGAGGGCCAAAGAATTTAACACGATCAGGTTATCTCCAAAGAGGGACATAATTGTGGAAGTCGATGATGAGTGCATATGAGCTATGAGGAGGGAAAGAGGGAGACAATGTGACAATAAGAACATTAAGAAAAATCCAGGGATATATCGATGTTCATGGAACAAAGAATTTCCATGTATTATGAATTTAAATATGTTCGAATTAACTAGAACAACGAATTTCCTCGTATTTAAATGTTGGAAAATGGGTAATTTTCCAAAAAATGTAGGTAAAAATTCAAAAATTTTAAAAATGAGGTCTTTTTAGTTTTTTAAAAGAAAAGGTGTACAGCCTAATTATTACAATTTTGACTGGTCTGTTTTGATTGTAAACGTAGTCCGATTTTGCTAAAATTCAGATTTTTGGTAGATTTGGATAAAAGTTATAGGTCTAATGAAATGTGGTTGAAAATAATTTTTTGAAAATGGGGCTAGACAGGAGCTTAGAAGGGCAGACGCCAAGTCTAAGACAGGCACGGAATATATATATCTAAAGGGCAAAAATTTTCTAAATAAGCTGTGGCGAGACTTGATATCTAATTTTCGAGCTTGTTCGTTTATTGCGTTGAGCCATCTCATTTAAAAGCTGTTAAAACTTGACAAAAACGCTGAATGCGACGGTGATTACTGAACAAAAGCATGTATTTTGTAACATCATTGTATTCATACGATTATTTTTCTACTTGATACAAATTCAAAGTTAATGATGCCTCCATTATATAATAATGGTGGCAAACTGAGAGCATTTAAGTCCTGGAAAATCTCTAAATTTCTCAAATTTTGGGATTTCACTCTTCTTGATTATCTACTGCCCCATCAGTTGTCTAATTATTTACCAGGTGGATCAAATATTGCTTCAAGCTCTTCGGCTCGATCTCCCTTCTATTTGCCTTCACAGAAATATTCATGTCAGCATATGTTAAAAAGACAAACCAATAATGAAATCAGTTTTAGTATACCTCTACTGTGAAAACGTTCAAGACTGAGCCATTTAACGTAGTAACATTGGCATCCATCACTTTTAGTCCTAAAGAATCCATAGCCTCCATCAACCTCACAAAGCCACCTTGTTTTTTCACGCATATACATCGCAGCAAGAATACTTTTGCTCCAATTTGGCTTACTTCGACCTCAACCTTAGAAAGTTAATCAACATAAAAATAAGCGGAGATTTTGCAAACTTGGATGCTGAAAAATGAGAAACATTCTCCTTACCTGAGCTTGTTTCTTTTCACTTGCAATGCTATAACCTTTGTCAATTTCAGCAGCCAGTAAATATTCCTTGTCAGCAAGCTCCTTGATTGAGCTTCGAGATTCAGTTTTAGCATTGTTTCTGTTGCAGTCCTCTGCCATTTCTCTAAGTTCATCTTGATATTTTTCAATTGTCTCCTTCAGTTCCTTTATGTATCGAATCGCATCCCCCAATATAGAAGCTCTATCCATCTGGTAGCAAAGAAAATGACAAAATTCACAAGGATAAACAATTCTGGGAATCGTTATGGATATCATTTAATATGGTGAATATTCAGAGAATGTTTGGCTAAGCTTACAAGTAATGCCAAGAAAAGTTTTCTTGAAAGTATCTACACATACTTATTGAGAAAAGTAACTTTTAAGTTTAGCTTCACATGCTATATAAACCTTAGAAATCATTGGGACTAATGAGCGAAGAGCAAAGAGCCCGTCTTTTATCCTCTTCCTGCGGTTTCTCTCTGTGACAAGATTCTTTGATTGGTAATGCTCCTTTCCTCCCCTTTGCAATTCCTTCAAATTGGCATTCTCATCCGCGTTTTGCTTCCTTTTCAAATTCAAATTGCTGCTTGGCATTTCTGAATATTTTCCACTTGATTTTTCAGGCAACATGTTTCCAAACACATGGTCCGCGTGTATGCTAAGTGATTGATGCTCGTTTGAAAGGGTCGAGATAATGGATGATCCCTCAAAGCTAGAATCAATATTTAGTTGTGATATTTCGGGATGCAAATTCAAATAATGAAGTGATGGGGGCCAATCAATTTGGTGGTTAAAATTGATATAGCTCTTCTCAGACATGATTTCTTGTTCTGCAGAAATTTTGAACCGAGCAAAGATGAAATCTATTAATTTCTGTTCTTTTGGTACCTGGAAAACAAAATGAGAATTATCTTTCAGAAAATTTACTCCAGAAGAATAGAATTCATTACATTTTCAAGAAATGAACAGTCTTACATGATTTTTGCTAAAGAGCTCAATCAAACCACCAGCAACTGGAATTAGAACTTGGGTTCCAACAGGTTCCTGCAATGAAAGTAAGCTTACTGATTCGAATTCACGACAAAAATAATTTGGCCAAAAAAAATTCAACCCGAAACTTCTTAACCAAATCAAACTATTGTTGTAAGTTTCTCTGCAGATTCTCAGTAATATTGATGTCAAAGAATGTCATCAAACAGACAATCTGGTCAAGGCTCAAAGTTCACACATTTGTTTGTAAAATATTATGAAGTCCACGATCAAGCTCGACTAGAAAGGATTAAATCATTTCTCGGGAGCAATGATCCAAGGATAATGCCAATCAATGAATTAGCACAACTTTGTGAAATATATCTCCAAAGTTTTAATCCCTATTTCAGCATAGCAATAAAAGAAACGAAAAACAAGAAAAGCCCGCAGATTTAGAGCTACGTCGGGTTAGTCTAATAATCGAGGGGATTAGAGGTAAAATCTTAATACACGAAGCAAAATTACTGAGCAAGAAATGCGAAGTGAGATACTCACAGATAAACTGTTCGACATAGAGGCATTTGCAAGGGTTAGCCATTTTGGTTGTTTCGATATCACTACCTCTCCATGAATCCTGATTATAATTAAACCTCAGTTATAAGAAAAGTTTTCTTGGTAGTAACAAAATTATGCCCAAAAATTACAGTAAATCAAGAAAACAAATTAGTACATTTACATGAAGATTTACAGAAGATTAATATTACCCAGAATACAATCCTATGGAAGAAGGAAATTTTGCAAGAGCTCTGCAAGCCTTTGTTCTAACAGGATGCTTATTTCTTGTATCTTTGCATTCAATAATCAAATGCTTTTCCAAACCAATTTCTTCTTTCATTTTGAAGTGTCTGCCATTTGCTCCACTGCAACAACAAGTCCCCCATTCTATAAACCTGAAAACTCAATCAAGAAATCAAAAGGGTCGAAAAAAAAGTGATAATTTTATTGAAAATAAGTGCTTATAATTATAGTACCTTGAAGGGTCATCCCCTAACTTCCAAATAATACAGTAGTCCCACGCCTTTGTTTTTACTAGGGGTCTCAGCCACTCAACTGCCGTCTCTAAAGCTGCCATATATGTTTGAACGCTTCTTTGTTTGTTTATGGGCTTTTCTGTTTTCTGCTCTAAGGGACCATTTTCTCAACAGTGAAGTTTTTAGACAACTACAGTTTCTATTTTCATCCATCTTTTTGATATATAAAGCATTTATGGAAGACAAGCCTAACAGAATTTGTAAAATGCAGTGTCCTTTTAACCAGAATCAAATCTGTCAGAAGAATCTGATTCTCTTTCCCGGACTATGGAGAGATTTCCCCTGCCCGTCCACTCTTTGATCTTAAGAATGCTAATTTTAAGAACAAGTGATTGACATTCTCCGATATCCCTAATGTCCAACGTGGAGATAATCGGATTGAACTGTTGACATTCACCGTAGGGAAAATCACCGTCGCACATGCTCGCTGGTTCGATTACTAAACACAGAACAACCTTTTTATTAGAACGAGGTGATAGATTGTAAAAAATTATTGGCTAAGAATGATTCAAAAGGTTTAGTGAAGGGGATGGATAACTGCACATGGTGGTGATGATTCATTTTCGAAAATGGAAAATTAATATGCCTTAGAGCCTGTTAGGTAGGGATTTTTGGGGGAAGAATTGATTTTGAATAGTGATATGACGGGAAATGTGTGGTTGAAAAAGAAGAAAAAGGTATTGATGTGATGGAAAATATTATTTTATTGAAGAATGTGTGGTTGAAAATGAGAATTGATTTGAGAATTGATTTGAGAATCAGAAACAAACAGGGCCTGAATATCTTGCTCTTACAATGATCCTTTTAATTTGTCTAGTCCATGGTATTCCCTGTATATTAACACCAAATTAAGGACCATAAAATTCACTTAAATTGACAGAAAAAAAGAAATGTCAATTTAAAATTTCTTTTTACATTTTGGGCTATTTGGCACGGATTTTATTTATTTATTATTATTATTTTTTTGGTGTAGGGAAGATTTTACCTTCTTAAATTATACAGTTATTATCTGTAGGAGGATTAATGGAAACTGGAATAGTCCCAGCTGTGCCAGCAAAGAAGCCATCGCTTACTCCCAAAGCAATTATACACCNACTATTACATAGATACTTCTAAAATAATTAACTAGTGTATAAATTGACAATGTATTGGATTGAAATCACGATCTTCATAGAATATATGGTGACAATGGTTCACAATATTTTCGACATCGTTCATTTTTTGATACTTAGCATATTCAACTCAGAGTCAACTTATTTCCCACACGAACAAATTTGTTCGACCCAGATAATCAGTCTCCCTTATTGAGGTAGGTTTGATTTACACTTTTTAGCTTATGTCCTACTCGAACAAACATTATAGAATCTTACTTCCTTAGTGCCAATACTAGCAAGAAGTTAAGATACCTTGCTTAGTTTTGTTTTTTGGTCAACAAGTTTACCAGATCTTAGCTTCATGCAGATGAGTCAGCTAAACTCGAGACAAAACAGTAGGATGACTTGCTTATCTTCCTCGATTGGGTTTGTTCTTGAGCTTGACTAGTTGAATTTATCTCGACTGAGGTTGATTTCAACTAGACTAGAGTTATAGAGACTTTGGATGAAGGATGTCAATCAAGATCACGTTGACTTGACGTAGGCTGTCCTTCGTCCGAACACAATTTGTAAAATGGCTATCTGTCAAACTATTTTCTTATCATGCAAATCATGCAGAATGATTCAATGATAAACAATTACACTTTGTACAAAGAATAATCTAAAATATACAAGTCGAGCGAATTCACACTCTCTCATCAAGATACTTTTATCACCTAAGTCAAATGTCTTTCCCATTGAGGATAGAACGAATTTTTGTTCCAAATGACTTAGCATCCAAAATTCACGACCTTCTAAGTTTTAATAGATTGAAGCATATCAAGAAATTACAACCATTAAAATTGGAGATTCAAATTTCAAGATTGTGTCACCAGATTTGATAGATAAAACTTGAGTTTGTGTGACCTTCTTACTAACGAGTTTTAAATCCATTGTTTGCGCCAACTATGGTTAATCGAGTAGCCACGACGTCAAATTTGATCACTAATCTCCCATACAAGTGTTGCAATGGTTGTTGTGTCAGGAGACTCTTTCCTACATTTTCTAAACATTTTTAAGAAATTCAAGGGACACGTGATCGTTGATAGAGTAATTGGGAAATGTCTCGTCCGTGTTTCAGGTCATCGAAGCACATAAACACACATTCCAATGACCTCCTTTTTTCAAGGTATCAACCGGAAAATTGCATTTTTTTTTCATATTTGAACAATTTTGACATAATTTATGGGAAATTATAAAAAATCAGGTGTTTAAAGATTGATTTTTAAAAATAAAGGTCTACAATTTATTTATTTAAAAATCAGGTATTTTATTTTAAATATCAAACACTTAATCTATTCAAACCCTAAACTAATTTATTTTTCTCTATTCTCTCCCAATCTATTCATCTCTCCACTCTCTCACCCGTCGCCTCCACCGCCACCGTCAGCTTCTCTCTCACCCGCCACCTCCACCGCCACAGTCAGTTTCTCCTTCCTAAGGGCAGTAGTGTTGGTGGCGGGTGGAGGGAGAAGCTGCTGCTGCATAACGGCGTCGCGACGCTGTCGGGTCGGAGCAGCGTCGCGAAGCTGCTGCAGTGGGAGGGGGAGGGAGAAGGGCAGTAGTGTTGGTGGCGGATGGAGGGAGAAGCTACTGTTGCACGAACGGTGTTGCGACGCTGCCGGGTCGGATGGAGGGCTCAGGTACTTTGATGTTTGTGTGGTGGATCTGACGATTGGGGAGGGTTTGGATGAGTTTTTGTGTGGTGGTCGTGGTGAT